AGCCCCACGACCGACCAAAAAATAATAACAATAGAAACTAGGTTTTGTGCATGCTAAGCACACATTCTACCACTAACTATATGCCTAGCCTCCAGCCCTATTTCTGTAGTAATGGAGATCTAATTAAGGGCCTCACTCATGCTAGGCCACATTAGTAGTCTTAGCTGGCCTGGAACTCCTGGTAATCCTCTTGACTCAGTCTTCTAAGTAGCTGAGATTCCAGATGACACTGGTTAATTACTCAGTGTCTTTTGTTGGTGGTGGTGGTAGTGGTTGTGGGGCCTTGACCAAACTTCACTAAGGATTTTCTTTGTGCCTTAGACTCTTAACTTTGGTGCATCTCTAAGCTTAGACAAGCACAAAGGTAGTCCTTTTAATGGCTCATCCAAGAATTTGTAGACAATAAACATTCCTGAAAAACCATCTTGATCATGTTGTCTGCTTATTCCTAGTTCCTCCCTCCCTCTTCTGGAAAGTCTCTATTTGCACTGTTCGTCTCTCAGAAAAGACCTTTTCCATATTTTAGATGCTCAGCTCCTGAGGTTGCAGTGTTCCCTACTGGAATTGTCTTTTCTGATGGCTTCTCAAGACTGGGTTGATTTTTAAGAATATAAACCATTAAGTCAATTTGATTACCTATTTGGTCAAATTGCCTTATTTTTTTATATTATTTTTTCTTCTTGTCCTGTTTTGTGAGAGGGCTATGTTTTTATTTATTTTTATTTTTGTCAGTCGTGGGGCTTGAACTCTGGGCCTGGATGCTGTCCCTCAGCTCTTCAGCTCAAGGCTAGCACTCTACCACTTGAGCCACAGCAACACCTCTGGTTTTTTGAGTGGTTTATTGGAAATAAGAGTCTCATGGACTTTCCTGCCCGGGCTGGCTTTCAACTGTGATCCTCAGATCTCAGCCTCCTGAGTAGCTAGGATTACAGGCATGAGACACCAGCGCCTGGTGAGAGGGCTATTTTTGGGGGGGGGGGGGGGTGGTTCCGGTAGTGGGGCCTGAACTCTGGGCCTGGGCGCTGTCTCTCAGCTCTTCAGCTCAAGGCTAGCGCTCTACCACTTGAGCCACACCACCACTTGTGGCTTTTTTTCTTTTTGCTTATGTGGTGCTGGGGAATCGAACCCAGGGCCTCATGCATGCAAGGCAAGCGCTCTACCACTGAGCCACCTTCCCAGCCCCTGAGAGGACTATTTTTAAGCCAACTTTTTAGTTCTTTTACTATTTCTATTTATCTCAAAATTTAAAGATTCGAGCTTGTAGCCAACCTAGCAACACAAAGACCAAGTCTCAGAAAACAAAAACATCAAACAATGAGACTATATTGTTACATGCATACAAATGTAGCAAATTTTGCCAGCTCATTGAATGTATCTATTAAAATTTAATGTTTACCCCTGCTTATTCTCTTTGCCTTAAAATCTGTTTGATATAAAAATACAATTTTTATCCTTTCATTTGTAAATTTCTAGTATTTGCATTTTATATTTCTCTCTTGAAAATACATTTCTAAGAAATGTGATTTCTCTTGAAAATGCAATTCCAGGAAATGAGGCACATGACTGTAATCCCAGCAATAGGGAAGCTGAGGCAGGATTGTGAACTTAAGGCCAGCCTGGATTGCACAGTATAACTGTCTCAATCCCTTGCCCCTCCCTGCCAAAACATTCCAGCTTCACTTCCTTTTCTGAGATGACAATCAATTGTCTCAGATAGAACATTTACTCTGTTTACGTCTAAATTACTGATATTTTTAGTTTAAAACTACCATCTTACTATGTGCCAGATATACAATACATACCTTCTATATTTTTCCATTTTTCCTTGAAGCTCTGAATATTGCATACTTTATTCTAACTCTATTACTCCCAGAAAGTACTAGTGGGGCCCTAACCATGCAGAATTGTAGAATAGTCTATGCCTAGAAAACAACTTGGAAATCCTAGTTTCCTGTTGTTGCCTATGTATATTCTTCTTCTTTTTTTTTTGGTTGGTTGGTCATGGGGCTTGAACTTTGGGCCTGGGTGCTCTCAGCAATTCAGTTCAAGGCTAGTGTTCTACCACTTGTACCATTGTGCCACTTCTGGTTTTCTGGTGGTTTATTGGAGGTAAGTCTCCTGGACTTTCCTGCCTGGGCTGGCTTTGAATCATGATCCTGAGTAGCTAGGATTATAGGCATGAACCACCAGCACCCAGCTGCTTATGTATATTCTTTTTTTTTTTTTTGGGTCCAGTCGTGGGGCCTGAACTCTGGGCCTGGGCACTGTCCCTCAGCTCTTCAGCTCAAGGCTAGTGCTCTACCACTTGAGCCACAGCACCACTTCTGGCTTTTTTCTTTTTGCTTATGTGGTGCTGAGGAATCGAACCAAGGGCCTCGAGTATGCAAGGCAAGCGCTCTACCACTGAGCCACCTTCTCAGCCCCATGCTTATGTATATTCTTGTCCCTTCCTGTGCCTATATGTACGAAGTATAGCTAGAAAAGTTTTGTAGATATAGTTTATCAGTCTACCACTAAATAAACTAACTTTTAAAAATCTTTTTATGTTTTCCAAACACAGAGGCACAAGCTCCCATCTATGCAAATGTGAAGGCTACTGAGAGCTACAAGAAACTGAGTTTGGGCTGGGAAGGTGGCTCAGTGGTAGAGCGCTTGCCTTGCATGCATGAGGCCCTGGGTTCAATTCCTCAGCACCACATAAGCAAAAAAGAAAAAAACCAGAAGTGGCGCTGTAGCCTTGAGCTGAAGAGCTGAGAGACAGCACCCAGGCCCAGAGTTCAGGCCCCACGACCGGACCCAAAAAAAACCCCAACAACAAATAAATAAATAAATAAATAAAGGATTGTAGCCAGGCACTGGTGGATCATGCCCATAATCCTAGCAATTTAGGAGACTTGGATTTGAGAATTGTAGTACAAAGCCAGGCCAGGCAGGAAAATCCATGAGACTCTTGTCTCCAATTAACAAGCAAATATGTGGAAATAGAAGTGTGGCTTATATGATAAGAGTGCTAGCCTTGAGCAAAACAGTTAAGGGAGAGAGTCCTGGCTCTGAGTTTAAGCCCCAAAACCAGCACACACAAAAATAATAATAATAAATAAAGGATTGCTGCTGGGTACAGTGGCTCAAGCCTGTAACCCTGGCTGCTCGAGAAGCAGGAATCAGAGTCTGAGGCCAGCCTTACATAAAAGTTGGTGAGGGGGCTGGGAATGTGGCTTATTGGTAGAGTGCTTGCCTAGCATGTATGAAGCTCTGGGTTTGATTCTTCAGTACCACACAAACAGAAAAAGCCAGAAGTGGCTCTTTGGCTCAAGCAATAGACTAATAGCCTTGAGCAAAAGAAGCTCAGGGACAGCGTCCAGGTCATGTTCAAGCTACAGGACTGTGGGGGGAAGTGGAACTGTAGATCAAATGGTACAGTGCTAGCCTTAAGCACAAAGAGGCTCAGCAACAGACCGAGGCCCTGAGCTCAAGCCCCAGGGAGGGAAAAAAAAAGTTTGTGAGACGATTCCATCTCAATCAATGACTGGGTATCCCTGCCATTTCCAGTGACATGGGGATGCAGAAGTAGAAGGATCACAGCCTCAGACAGCCCAAGTATAAAGTGAGACCCTACCTCAAATATAACTAAGATGTTGGGCGCCAGTGGCTTATGCCTATAATCCTAGCTACTCAGGAAGCTGAGATCTGAGAATTGCAGTTCAAAGCCAGCCCAGGCAGTAAAGTCTATAAGATTCTTTTTTTTTTTTTGGTCCGGTCGTGGGGCCTGAACTCTGGGCCTGGGCGCTGTCCCTCAGCTCTTCAGCTCAAGGCTAGCACTCTACCACTTGAGCCACAGCGCCACTTCCGGCTTTTTTCTTATGTGGTGCTGAGGAATTGAACCCAGGGCCTCAGGCATGCAAGGCAAGCGCTCTACCACTGAGCCACCTTCCCAGCCCGTCTATAAGATTCTTATCTCCAATTAACCACCAGAAAACCCCAAGTGGAGCTGTGGCTCACAGTGGTAGAACCTTGAGCCAAAAAGCTCAGGGACAGAGCCCAGAACCTGAGTTTAAGTCCACAGCCAATTGTAAAAATAAAAAAAGGTAAAAAAGGGCTGGGAAGGTGGCTCAGTGGTAAGAGCTCTTGCCTTGCATGCCTGAGGCCCTGGGTTCGATTCCCAGCACCACATAAGCAAAAAGAAAAAAGCCAGAAGTGGCGCTATGGCTCAAGTGGTAGAGCGCTAGCCTTGAGCTGAAGAGCTGAAGGACAGTGCTCAGGCCCAGAGTTCAGGCCCCACGACCGGACCCAAAAAAAAAAAAAAAAAGGTAAAAAAGGTTGACGGCATGGTTTAAATGGTAGAGCACCTGCCTTATAATCATGAGACCTTGAGTTTATTCCAATTACTTGTAAAAAACTTTTTTAAGACTAAAAGATTGTTGCCGAGCGCCAGTGGCTCATGCCTGTAATCCTAGCTACTCAGGAGGCTGAGATCTGAGGATCGTGGTTCAAAGCCAGCCCGGGCAGGAAAGTCTGTGAGACTCTTGTCTCCAATAAACCACTCGAAAACCAGAAGTGGTGCTGTGGCTCAAGTGCTCGCCTTAAGCTGAAGAGTACAGGGACATTGCCCAAGACCAGAGTTCAAGCCCCACGACAAAAAAAAAAAAAAAGAATAAAAGATTGCTAAGATGAAGTACGACGTATCCCTAAACCAATATCCTTAATTATGTATAACCTTCTCCTAAGTCTTGATATCTGGTAGGTGGAGTCTTTTCATTCTCTTCTACTTCCTTCTCCTTTGCATTTCCATATACTTTTTAGAACCATTTTATCAAGTTAGCATGAAATAAGAATAAACAAGCTACGTGGGTTGTACTGAGATTTATTGAATAAACAAATTCTAAGGATGTCAGTTTCCTTGTTTGCACAGCTGCCTCTGGCTCATCCTCATCTGGGGAGTGGCTTCGGGGTCGGCTGCAGGATCACCACCCAAGCTGTCCATCCCTAGGCCTCAATTTTTGTCCACTTCAATTCCAAGTAAGTAAACAGTCATGTGAAGCACACAGGAAGCCCTCTAACAAAAGTAGCCATGACTAGAGTCACCTCTACGTAATCCCTAAAACCCAGGGCTAGGAGAATGCCACCTCTGCCACTTCCTTTGTTAGAAACACCCGCTCAGACAGATCTACTTGGAGATTTTACATACATTTTAAATACTGAACTAGAGTTCCCTGTTTTTGAGACCCAAGCCAAAGCAAACCCGCCTTCCCAGCTGACTTTCTGCCATGAGGCCATCCTACTCTTAGCCAATTCCCCCAGATGGAACCTACGGGAATGTCTTTGAGCAGCAGACAGTGCCTCAAGAATCAGCTCTAAACCACAGCTTCACTATTTCTGACAGCTGAGTCAGCTGGCCAAAGGCTTGACATCCTCATCTCTTTGGTTAGTGTCACCTCTGTCTCCTTGAGACCAGCCCTTGAGAAGACTAATAAGCAAGGCAAGGTGTGGAATGGACCCAGTATGAAAACAAAGAAGCCTTAGAAGACAGAGTCAGGCAAGAGACAGCTGGCATCAGGCATGCAGGACCTGGGTCAGGGTCTCACCCCTCTGGGATGAAGGGCCGAATCAGCTCCGGGTTCAACAGCGACTCCTCAAGAGGCCGGTCCACATGGAAGTCATGGACATGGGGGGGCCCTGGATGGGCCTTGGGGGCAGGACCCCCTGGACGCTGTGGAATTGGCAGCTCAGATGGGTGGGCAGGCAGAGGAGCTGTGAAGAAGTACTGGTGCAGGAGGGCCTGGAGATGGCAAGTGAGGAACAAAGGAGGCCATCACCACCTCTACCCACACCTGACTCACACACACAGCTGACTCAGCAAGTCTTGGCTGGATGCCCACATGTCTGAAGCCCTGTCCTACAGAGAACACAATGGTGTACAAAACAGACCAAGCTTTGCCTTGTCAATAGTGGAGGTGGGAGTTAATAAAACCAGATAGATGAAAAAATAAAGAGCATGCCCAGTAGTGATCAGTCCTTGGGAAAGGAATAGAGAGGAAACAGGAAGACTGGAGAGGTGGTGGACTTAGAATGGTGAAGGATTAGACTACAGGTATTTGCTGTAATCCTAGCTACTCAGGAGGCTGAGATTTGAGGTTTATTGTTTGAAGCCAGCCTCAGGCAGGCAAGTCCATGAGTCTCTTATTTCCAATTAACTAGCAAAAAGTTAGAAGTAGAGTTGTGTGACCCAAGTGGTAGAGTACCAGCCTTGTAAGAAAAAGCTAAATGCCCATGTCCTGAGTTCAAACCTCATAACCAGCATACAGACAGACAGACAGATACACACACACACGCACACACACACACACACACACACAAAGTATAGTGAGGGCCACTGGAGAGAAGGGCAAGCTTGAGTTGCAGGAGGCCTAAGAAGATTGCTCACAGGCAGGCAAAGGAGCACAGACCCAGGGGAGGCCCTGGGGCTGGACAGGAGTGGGCATGGGGCCAACAGCAGGCAGGATCAGGAGAAGGATTCTGGCTTTTCCTCTAAGTAAGAATCCACAGGAGAACCTTGGTAGAGGAGGAAGGTGACCTGCTCCGCTTACACAAAGTCACTCTATCTGCGAGGTGAACAGATTCGATGGAACAAGGAGAGATGCAACTTCCAGAAGATGGTCCAGGTCAGAAGTGACCAGCCAGAGCCCCACTGAGAGGCCACTGACAGTAGAGACTGAAGGTGTCTGGTACTGACTGAAAAGCATTCTAGGAGCCAGGCTGGGAAGCCTACCAGCTCATGTCCTTCCCTGCCTTCTAGCCATGACCAGCCTTCCTGTCCTCGCTCCTCCAGGCTACTGCTCACTGTCTCTCTCTTTGGCAGGCCAACTCTTTTCTGCCACCTCAGGCTTAATTAAACTTGCCCCACACTGAAGAGGGGGGAAAAAAATCTACGGGCTCTCTAGGGACTGCCACCACACTCATATGACCCTGTTGGGCCACAGCTGCCACTAGAGGGTGGGGATGGGATTCAGAGGCTGGAAGAGCTCAGTATCTGTTGCTGCTCAGTATCTGTCAGGCCTGGGTCTCATGCTGAGTACTTAGTGCTGAAGAGATAAAAACTACCAGTCCCCAGAGACTCTTCTGCCACAAAGTCCGTACTCTCCTATGAGACCCAACATATCACCCTTGCTCTCCCGAAGCCTCACAGGAAATGCTGGGATGCCCAGTGGAGTTTGCTCATCAAAAGTAGAACCTACCCTGAGTCCTCTATCTTCTTAGGTCCTGGCCCATTATGCGCCGGTACCAGTACTGGTGCTGGAAATCAAGGCCTGAGTGTTGTTTCTGAGCTTTTGTTAACTCAAGGCTAGTGCTATACTACTTAAGTCACAACTCTACTTCTGGTTTTTGGGTGGGTGATTAGATAGATTCAGGCAGGCACTGGTGGCTCCTGCCTGAAATCCTATCTACTCAGGAGGCTGAGATCAGAGGATTGCCATTCAAAGCCAGCCTGGGCAGAAAAGTTCCTGCCTGTGAGACTCTTATCTCCAATAAACTACTCAGAAAAAGCCAGAAGTGGAGTTATAGCTCCAGTGGTAGAGTACTAGCCTTGAGCAAAAAGAAGCTTAGGGACAGTGTGCAGGCCCTTTGACTTCAAGACCCAAGTCCGCACAATTCAAAGAAAAAAAAAATGTCTCAAAGAATTTTCTACCTGGGCTGGCAACTAGGATAACAGATGTGAGCCACCAGTGTTGAGTTCCATTATGAGTTCTGAGAGATGACCTGATGGGTCTCAAGGTTGCTGAATACAAGGCAACAAGGCAGGGAGGGTGAGGAGAAGAGATGGTGCTGAGGGAAGAGACAGTGGCCATAGGCTCTTTCCTTACCTGGGAGGCAGAGATGCGCTGATGAGGAGGGTAGAGGAGAAACTGGCCCAGCAGGTCCAAGGCCTGAGGAGAGGCGTCAGGCAACACCTCCTCCAGTGGTATTGGTGCCTGCTCCTTAAAGGAGATCTTGTTGTAGTCGGGCAGCTCTGTGATCTCCTGGGCAAGGAAGAAGGGGTCTCTGAGAGCAGCTCTACAACCAGAGCTCTTGGAGCCTCATATTCTCAGGCTCCCTCAGTTCCCTATCATTCACGCTCCCACTCTGCATCCACCCCTAACCTTCCCAGTGCCCACTAAGCATGTGGATCCTGGGGTAAGATCAGGCAGAAGATAGGACCTGGCTGCCAGGAGGGCAAGAGGAAGGAACCTCCTGCTGGGCCACCACAGTGGTCCCTGTCAAACAAGGGAGGTTGGGGCCATGAGAGAAAGTGAGAGAAGACGCCATCACTTCTTATTTGGGAATGCAGCCAACCTGCTTAACACCCTCCCCTCCAAGGGTCCCTACAAACCGGCCAGACTTGAGGGCTGGGGGTCCCCAAGATACGAAGCACACAGCAAAGCTGTTCAATGTCGTTCTCTCCAGGGAAAAGTGGAGACCCATTTAACAGCTCCCCCATGATGCAGCCCACAGCCCTGTGGAAACAGAGCCGCAAGTAGCTCTAGATCACATCCTGTGAGATATAGACCCACCACACCAGTTCAAACACCCCCCACCAGGGTCAAGGCCCAGAGTCTTCCAGTCCAAGTATACAGCTCTCAGTACAGTGAAAGGGCTCAGCTCTAGAAGACAGAGAAAATCCTAAATGGCTCCAACTCAGTGACACAGGCCTCTGACTAGTCCAGAGATGTCGCAATCTAGGGTTTAACCCCTGTACATGTCACCCTGGAAGTCCATGTGCTGAGCCTCAAACCACTCCCCTGCAAGCCCAGAAGCTTCTCTATTGGGATACTTTATTCCTCTGTCTCCCATCCGGCTAAAAAAACATTACTATAGGAGCTGAGCACCAGTGGCTCATGCCTGTAATCCTAGCTACTTAAGAAGGCTGAGATTTGAGGATTGAGGTGTGAAGCCAGTCCCAGCAGAAGTCTGTAAGACTCTTATCTCTAATTAACCACCACAAAGCTGGAAGTGGAGGTGTTGCTCAAGTAGAAGAACACCAACCTTGAGCAAAAAAAAAATAAAAAAGCTAAGGGACAGTGCCCAGGCCCTGAGTTCAAGCTCCAATAGCAGCTCAAAAAAAGAAAAATCACTATGAGAAACACAAAAAGTATAGACTACCCCAACCATGATGGACTCCTCCATGGCCCACATTACCCTCGTGTGTCCCTAGGAGACTCACCATAGGTCAACGCCCTGGTCATACTGGCGGGCGCCATATAGGAGCTCAGGGGCTCGGTACCACCTGGGGAAAAAAGAGGCTTGGAGGTCACAGCCAGGCCACTGGTCTGCAGGAAACTGCTTGAGTTCATTTCAGCCATGTCTGAACAGAAAGCACAGACTATCTCTTCTCCAGAAACATGGTTAGAGGGGATCCAGCCCCCTTACCTGGTAGCCACCTGGTGTGTGTAGAGGCGATTGCCATCAGGTGAAAAGACCCGGGCCAGACCGAAGTCAGCTATCTTGAGCTGGCCTGAAGCACTGATGAGTAGGTTGGCAGGTTTTAGGTCCTGAGAATACAAAAGGAGGCATCAGTCCCTCTGAATCCCCTACAGGAGTGTAGGACGGGAGGACTTGGCAGACTGACTCTACAGGGCAGCCTGAGCTGCTATCTGTTCTAGAGCTTTGCCCCTGGCTGCTTACCTGCTGGCTCTGACCCTCTTGGGCATACCTTCTTCAAGGGCTACCCCTGACCTTGGCCCACAATGGGACTGACCCGATGCACGATGTTGTTGGCATGGCAGAAGGCAACACCCTTGAGCAGCATCTGTAGGTAGCTCTTGACTTGCGCTGGGGCCAGTGGTCTCTGGGCATGGCGTACCACCTCAGCCAGATCAGACAGCATGAACTCGAAGGCCAGCACAAAGCCTGCCCCATGCGGGAACACAGCCTTCAGCTGCACCACCTGAGGGAAGGCATTCTGTCAGCTCCCACACTCATTTCACCAGACCTCTGCAACCCTGTAACTGGAGCCAGTTCCCTGACAAAAGGCCCAGGAAGACCAAGAAAGAAACATGGGCCCCATGCCAGTGGTTCATTTGTAATCCCAAAGTTCAAGCCCCAGACTTGTTCAAAGAGAGAGAGAGACAGAGACAGAGAGAGACAGAGAGAGAGACAGAGACAGACAAAGACAGAGAGAGAGAAAGACAGAGAGACAGAGACAGACAAAGAGAAAGAGAGAGAGAGGGAGGGAGAGGGAGAAAGGAAGGAAGGGAGGGAGGAAAGAAGGAAGGAAGGAAGGAAGGAAGGAAGGAAGGAAGGAAGGAAGGAAGGAAGGAAGGAAGGAAAAAAGCAAGCAAGCAAATAAATATAGGGTCTGAGTTCAGAGCCAGAGAGGTCAAGTAGTACCCATTCTAACTCTCCACTAATAGTAAAAAGGTTAGAAGAAGGTAACTTGGTAGGCAACATCTGACCACTCAATCCAGCCAATCCTTCTGAAAACCATCTGCAGAGCACAGATTGTCTCATGCTTCCTCTGGGGCCATTAAATTCCACCACCCAGGGATGGAAACCCAGGACATATCTTCCCTGGTGCTGGGACAGATGAAGATACATCCTACACTGGCACTACCAGTTTTGTAGGGCCAGGCTCCACAGGGCAGTGTGCTCTCTGGAGCTCACAGCACAGGGGACAAATAATCAACAAATTGATCAACAGACAGAAATATGTTCAGGTTCTAGAAGGCATAGGAACAGATATAAATACAAGAGAGTGGGGTGCTTTTGCAACTTTATTTAGATGGAGTGAACTCTGGCTCAGTAGGAACCAGTTATTCAGAGATCTGTGCAGAAATCTGAATAAGCAACAAGTGCAAGGTTCTAAGGCTAGAGAGATATGAGAATGGAATATCCTTTATGTCTGTGCTTCTAGAGTTTATACTAGTGCTGGTCACTTCTTAGGCATCCCACTGCCGGGATTAGTGGTTAGTGGTGACAGTAATCTGTGCTGGGGACAAATCTGCGATATATTTTAAGATGGAACCATTAGGACTGCATACTAACAGATGCAGTGACCATATCATTAGCATCCTTATGGATCTCTCTCTCTCCACATATCCACATGTGAATGCCTGGAAGTCCGCTACTTTCTTCAGATGCCTGAATGGCACTGGGTGCTGGTGGCTCAGGTCTGTAATCCTAGCTGTGCAGGAGACTGAGATTTGAGGATTATAGTTCAATGCCAGCTCAGGAAGGAAAGACTGAAATACTCTTATCTCCAATTAGCCACCAGAAAACCAGAAGTGGTGCTATGGCTCAAAATGGTAGAGCACTAGCCTTGAGCACAAAAGCTCAGGAACAGTGGCCAGGCCCTGAGCTCCAGCCCCATGATGAAAAAAAAAAAAGACGGGCCTTATTACAATTTTTTGATTTTTCTTGTAGTATGTACTCTTTTATTGATCAAAACACATTCATAGGGCTGGGAAGGTGGCTCAGTGGTAGAGCGCTTGCCTTGCATGCATGAGGCCCTGGGTTCAATTCCTCAGCACCACATAAACAAAAAGAAAAAAGCCGGAAGTGGTGCTGTGGCTCAAGTGGTAGAGCACTAGCCTTAAGCTGAAGAGCTGAGGGACAGTGCCCAGGCCCAGAGTTCAGGCCCCACCACCAACCAAAAAAAAAAAAAAAAAAGAAAAGAAAAAGACATTCATATATTGGATACTATACAAACTACAAAGGAACAATTAAAATCTTACTACCCGCAGTTCATCTTGAAGCAGATGATACCAGATTTTACAACATATAAGGTATACTGATTCATATTCATATAGCTAACATTTCCATGCAGAATCATGGACACATTAAAGTCTTACAATATGTGTCTGTCACCCAATCTATCATCAGCATCTCCACAGAATAACAAGACTGGGAAGTCAAGTATATTCTCTACTCTGACATAGAACAGCATAAAGAATAAAATGCAGCTGGGTGCTGGTGGCTCACGTCTGTAATCCTAGCTACTCAGGAGACTGAAATCTGAGGATAGCGGTTCAAAGCCAGCCTGGACACAAAAGTCTGTGAGACTCTTATCTCTAATTAACCACCAGAAAACTGGAAGTGATGCTGTGGTTCAAGAGGTAGAGTGCTCACTTTGAGCTGAAATGCTCAGGGACAGTGCCGAGGCCCCACAACTGACAAAAGAGAGAGAGAGAGAGAGAGAGAATAATACTGCTGGAGTGTAAGATTCCTCCTCTGTCCCCACACCCCTTCCCTGTCACTGCTCATATCATGCCAAGTGGTGAACTCTATCACTTCTATCTCCATTATACTTAAGTTCTCAAGAGCCAGGACCATTTCCTCTCAGTGTCCTAAACAGGGCAGAACTTACAGGAGGCTCAAAGGAAGACATCTGTACTTCTCAATCAGACTGAGCTAGAGGCTTCACATATCAGCTGAGAGGCCAGGAAATAATGATGTAACTTCCTCCTCTTGATTGAGAAAAAAATTAATAAGCACCCTGGCAAGTAATGAGAATCTAATAATACAGCTTTAAAAAAGCACAGTGGGAAGCTGGGCACTAGTGGTTCACACCTGTAAACCTAGGTATTCATGAGGATCATGGGTTCAAAGCCAGTCTAGGAAGGAAAGTCCTTGAAATTCTTTTTTTTTTTGGCGGGGGGGGGGGGGGGGGGGTGTCCGGTTATGGGTCCTGAACTCTGGGCCTGGGTGCTGTCCCTTAGCTCTTCAGCTCAAGGCTAGCACTCTACCACTTGAGCCACAGCGCTACTTCCGGCTTTTTTCTTTTTGCTTATGTGGTGCTGAGGAATCGAACCCAGGGCCTCAGGCATGCAAGGCAAGCACTCTATCACTGAGCCACCTTCCCAGCCCTCCTTGAGATTCTTGTGTCCAATTAACCAGCAAAAAATTCTGGAAAAGGAGCTGTGGTTCAAGTGGCAGGGTATCAACCTTGAGCCAAAAAGTTAAGCAAGAGCATGAGACCCAGAGTTCAAACCCCAGTGAGTTGGGGAGCTAATTATCATTACTAGTAACACTTGGGATGGGGTGTGCTTAGAGATAGAGACTTGCTTAGCATGAATGAGGCCCTGGGTCCAATCTGAAGCATGCAAAACAAACCACTGGGTACTGATGGCTCATGCCTGCAATCTTAGGAGGCTGAGATCAGATGATCATGGTTTGATGTTTAACCTGGACAGAAAAGTCTGTGAGATTCTTAGATCCAATTTATCAGCAAAAACCAGAAGTAGTTGTGTGACTCAACTGGTAGAGCATCAGCCTTGAGTGAAAAAAGCTAAGGGACAGTGCCTAGGTCCTAAGTTCCAGTGCTGGTACCAGTGCATTCACAGGCACAAATCACCACGGAATGAAACTGAAGGAATGAGGAATAAATTAGGAGAATGAGGGAAAACAGTCAACAAGAAAGCTAATGGCTGTGCAAAGTGGAGTGGGTTGGAGGGATCCCTGAAGGCCTGTGTAAAGTGGGCAGAAGGCAGGAAGAAGTGGGGATGAGGGAAGAATGCAAGAAAGCAATGCTTCAGAACCGGCTGTCCCCTCACCCAGCTCAGCCCTGACTTACATACTGATTGTCCTCGATCTCCTGCAGAGCCTTGATCTCCCGCAATGCCTGGTTGGGGATGCCATCCTCCAGCCGCCTCAAGGCTACCTTCTTAAGGGCAACGATTTCGCCAGTCTGTGCAGAAAAGAGCACACACACTGCCAAGCCACTCCGGGCTGGGAAAGAGGGAGTAAAGAGAGGAAGGAGACAGGGTGGAGGGTGGGGGGAGAGACAGCTATCTATCTGTGGAGGAGAGGGGCCACCCTGCCCCGCTGCCCCCAGCCTCTCCTCCAGAGCTCGCGTTCCCGACGCGTGCAGAGGAACGGGTTTGAGACCATCCCGGGACTGGGTAAGGAAATCACCCCTAAGATGGGACGGGGGGCGGGGGAGGGAGGGAGAGTGGGGCAAGGAGGCAGACTAGACGTCGTCAGCAGGCCCACAGCTGTCCTGGGGGGCAGTAGCCTAGGGAACGGGGCGGAGGAAGATGAGGACCCGCTCTCCAAGCGGCCTCACCTCCACATGCTTGGCCTTGAAGACGATGCCGTGCGCGCCCTCCCCGATGCGGCCCAGGATGCAGTACTGATCCATCCAGCGGAGCCGAGCGCTGACGCGGTAGCCTAGCAACGTCAAGGCCTGCTGGCTGGGGCGGGGCCACGGCGGGTCACGTGACCAGGAAAGCCGGAAGCTAAATCCTCAGGGACGGTCGTTCTCCATGGCACCTTTCCCTGGCCCTCCGCTGAAGTCACCCTGAAATGCATTTAATTCCATCAACCCAGAACGCAGTGAGCAGCGGGGAGTGTCGGAGCAATGGCGGCCACCGCGTCTTCGCTACGGCGCCACGGCGTCACCCGACGCGCAGCCCAGAGGGCGGAGCCACGCGCTTGGGGGCGTGTCCAGCTGCTAAAGCCGGACTCTGGGCTAGGGGGCGTGGCTGGCTTCAGGGCGAGTCCTGACTCTGGTACTCTGGGCCCAGGCGCTGTTCCTGAGCAACTCTTGCTCAAGGCTGGCTCCACCACTGGAGCCACGGCGCCTCTCCCGGGTTTTTCTGTGATTTACTTGGAGATAAAAGTCTCCCAGACTCTCCGCCCTTGTTGGCTTAGAACTGTGATCTTACTACTCAGGAGAAGAGTTAAGATTACAGGCGTGAGCCACTAGCACCTAGCTTCTTTTCTATTGTTTTTGAGGCTTTCAAAGAAGTCTTTATTTATCTAGCTCCGAAGTATACGCTAACTGCCAGCCGCTGGACCAGGTGCGGTGAGTTCTAGTTCCTTATCAAAAAGCAGCACAAAAATCCTTTCCGGGCTAGGAAGGTGGCTTAGTGGTAGAGCGCTTGCCTTGCATGCATGAGGCCCTGGGTTCGATTCCTCAGCACCACATAAGCAGAAAAAGCCAGAAGTGGCGCTGTCGCTCAAGTGGTAGAGTGCTACCCTTGCGCTGAAGAGCTGAGGAACAGCACCCAGTCCAGAGTTCAGGCCCCACAACCAACAAAAAAGAAAGAAAAGAAAAAAAATCCTTTCCTCCACTGTATGAAAATGTACACCTTTTGGGCTGGGAAGGTGGCTCAGTGGTAGAGTGCTTGCCTTTCATCTTGAGGCCCAGGGTTTGATTCTTCAGCACCACATAGGCAGAAAAAGCCAGAACTGGTGCTGTGGCTCAAGTGGTAGATCGCTCACCTTGAACTGAAGAGCTGAGGGACAGCAGCCAGGCCCCATGACTGACAGGGGGAAAAAAAAGAAGAAAAGTAAAGACCCAGTGGGGCTGACACAGAGTGCAGACCAGCCAGGGGCTGGCCACAGGGGCTTGGGCCTTCATAGGTGCTGAATCTCATTTGCAATGTGTCACAACATCTGGAAACCCTCACTTTTCTCACACCAAATTGAAGTACTTGCCAGGCATACTTTCCAGTTTACACATGACCATTTACATTGAATGTTTCATTTGATCCCTGGGCCCTACAAGGACGCATTTCATAACTGAGGACCCTGAGGCTCAGGGAGGAAGTGGCTTGGGATAAGGCCAAGGCAGCAAAAGAGAGCTTTGCCCACTCACCCACCTAGCCACCTCCCCCCCCCAGGTCCTGAACTGTGGATGACAAGGCCATGTAGAACAGGGTGGTATCAAACAGTGAGCATGCTAAATGCTGTTTCCTAAAATCTAGCAAGGTCCCAGAGAAAGTACAAATTAAAGCCAGAGTCAGAGCAGGCTCCTTCCTAACCAAAGGGAAAATGCTGCCAAGAGCCCAGGCCTAAGCCAGGTGCCAGGCTCACACCTGTAATCCTAGATACTCAGGAGGCTGAGATCTGAGGATCACGGTTCAAAGCCAGTCCAGGCAGGAAAGCACATGAGACACATCTCCAATTAGCTAGGAAAAAGCCAAACGTGGAGCTGTAGTTCAACATGGGGGAAAAAAAAAAGCTAAGGGACAGGGCCCAGGCACACTAAGTTTAAATCCTAGTACTAGCCAAAAAAAACAACAAAAACCACACACACACACACACACACACACACACAAACTTCAAGCACGATAAGACAAATGTAAAGTAAATCCACAACTTCCCACTTGTTAAAGTATAAAAGAAAGATAGTCTTTCCACTCCCCTCTACAGATACTCATCTTTAAAAAATCAGTATTGTCTTGGCTACTAAAGGTCAGTGGCTAGCCAAGCCGTGGTTGGCTCACACCTGTAGTCCTAGCTACTCAGGAGACTGAGATCTGAGAATCACAGTTCAAAGTCAAACTATGCAGGAAAATCCTTAAGACTATTATCTCCAATTAACCACCAAAAATCCAGAAATAGAGCTGTGGCTCAAGTGGTAGATCACTAGCCTTGGGCAGAACAAGCTCAGGGACCAAACAATCAGTTCAAGCCCTAGGACTAGCACACACACAAAAAACGAAACACCCAGATACACAGGACCTCCCAGAAGCCAGAAGTCCCACACCCAGCTTATCCCATTCCTCCAGTGGGAGAAAAACTTAATCTTGGAAATTTCCAGTGCCTCTGACCACTTTGAATCCTTCTAGTCTCAAAACACAGGGCCTCTTTTGTCTTTTATATTTTTCTGAACATTGTTATTGTAAGAGAATTATTACTGTTACAATGACTCATGGGAATAGGGAAGTAAATCCTTCCCCTTCTAATATCAGTCTCTGGTATTCTCATGTTAACCTCCTTACTCATACTAGCTTCTCTTCTAGAGGTTTCCATGAAGATTTTTTTCCCTCTCCTTTCCTGACAGTCAACTTCTATGGGTGTGCATCCAACACCATGTAGAAGAGACAATTCTAGCCCTGCCAGGAGTCCATCTGACCCTCAACTCTGCTAGCATCCTATCTTGCTAGCTGAGGACTCTCAGCAATGGGAAAACTTCAGTTTAAAAAAAAAAAAAAGCACCAGGCACCGGTGGTTCACGCCTGTAATCCTAGAGACCCTTATCTCCAATAAAACCACTAGAAAACCGGGTGTGGCGCTGTGGCTCAAGCGGTAGAGCGTTAGCCTTGAGCTGAAGTAGTACAAGGACATCACCCCAGGACCGACCAAAAAAAAAAAAAGCAAACCACAAAACCAGACCACCAGGGGGCACCAAAGCTAAGGAATTCTTTTTAGATTAATCCTATTGAGGAATAGAAGTAGTTAGCTGCTACTCAAAGGATTTCAAAATCAGCCAAATACCAGATAGGTATCCATATGCCATTTAGGCTTTTCTGTAGAGAGTTAGAAGCTCCCATCTAGTTTAGACTCCTTTGCCTTTGCCTGAAAAATAAACTATTCAGGATAATGTAAATTGAGTCAGAAAGTCTACATTTTCTATCTAGATCTTCATTTTAGGTAGCAACTCTCTTGAAGCTTGGTTGACAGTTAATTTTTGTCTTATTCTCCTGTGGTGTGATACAAGAAATACACCTAGGGCTAGGAATGTGGCTCAGTGGTAGAGTGCTTGCCAAGCATGTATGAAGCCCTTTGTTCCACTCCTCAGTATCACATACACAGGAAAAGCCAAAAGTGGTGCTGTGGCTCAAATGGTAGAGTACTAGCTTTGAGCAAAAGGAACTCAGGGAAAGTGCCCAGGCCCTGAGTTCAAGCCCCAGGACTGTAAAAAAAAAGAAATACATCTGTTTCTCTATGTAAATACCTAACCTACTAGAGTACGGGGTGTGGGGGGGAGGGAAACATATAATTAGCTATCTACACATGACATTGTGTTGTCAGAATAGACTGGAGTCCTGGACTCCAAATATCAAAAGAGATCTTAAATACTAGGCATCAGTGACTCACACCTATAATCCTAGCTGTTCAGGAGGCTGAAATCAGGATTGCAATTCAAATCCAGCTCAGACAGGAAAGTTTATGAGACTCTTATCACCAATAAACTACTCAGAAAAAAGCTGGAATAGGTGCTGTGGTTCAAGTGGTAGAGTACTAGCCTTGAACAAAAGAAGCTCCAGGAGCCTAGGCCCTGAGTTCAAGCCCCAGGACCAACAAAAATATAAAAATAGGAGGAGGAGGAGGAAGAGGAAGAGGAGGAACAGAGATCTTAAAAGGGAATAAAGGTGAGAGCTAGCCAAATATGATAGCAAAACTACAAGCAGTATTGGGGCCCTGGTTGCTAACTCCTTTAATCCTAGCTACTTAGGAAGCTGAGATCTGAGAAACCAAGTTCAAAGCCAGCCAGAGCAAATAAGTACAGCCAAAAGCCAGAAGTGGTAGTGAAGCTCCCAGTGGTAGAGCACAGGCCTTGAGTGGAAAAGGTCAAGTGACAAGAAGGAAGCCCTGAGTTCAAGCCTCAGAATTGGCAAACACACGAAAGTCCTAGAGAGAAATTTATAAGGGTGTGTGGAAGAGTGTGGGTTAATAGTGAATCCATGAAGCTGAATTCTAGGCAGCAATTCTGTCCTGAGAAAACAGATTTACAGTTGAATAAATTTATCAGACACATTTTTAAAATTTACTTTATTGTTATTATAGAAGTGATGTACAGAAGAGTTACATTTACATGAGTCAGGTAATAAATATATTTCTTTTCATACAGTATCATCTGTTCCCTCATTCTCTCCCATTCCCTCCCTCCCATCTCCACCCATGAGTTGTGTAGTTCACTTTCATCAGTTTCCAGTTCATGCTTACATTTTTGTAAAATGACTAATATACTATGTGCATGAAATAAAAGGAGATTCTGGAAGAATGGTTATCTGGAGGGTAATTGCTATTTGGTGTTAGGTCTGCCCAGGAGAACTGTCAGGTGATTGATAGGTGAAGTTAGGTGATTACTGGTTTCAGACAGGTGAAGAAGAATGGGGGAGGGGCTGTTCTCCCAGGCAAACCTAACAATTGGAGTGGCAGATAGCAGGGGCCATGGTGAGTGGAGAGGGGATATGTCAGTCTAATGTCATATCTTTTTTTTCTTTCTTGTGCCAGTATTGGTGCTTGAACTCAGTGCTTGGGTGCTGTCCCTTAGCTTTTTCACTCCAGGCTGGTGCTTTTTTTTTTTTTTCCACTCTATCTCTTGAACCACAGTTCCACTTCTAGTTTTTTGTTTTTTTGTCAGTCATGGGGCCTGAACTCTGGGCCTGGACACTGTCCCTCAGCTCTTCAGCTCAGGGCTAGCACTCTACCACTTGAGCCACAGCACCACTTCCAGCTTTTTCTGCTTATGTGGTGCTGAGGAATTGAGCCCAGGGCCTCATGCATGCAAGCCAAGCACTCTACCACTGAGTCACCTTCCCAGCCCCCCACTTCCAGTTTTTTGGTAGTTGATTGGAGATAAGAGTCTCAGAGGCTGGGAATGTGGCTTGGTGATGGAGTGCT